GGTTGGAGGCGAACCGTAGGTTCCCCTGCACCGCTCGCCCCCCCCCCCCCCTCACCCACTTTTCCCTCCGGTCCCCGTCGCCCGCCTGCCATCAAGTGATCCAGAACATATATAGATATCCTACTTACGAGCTCGCTAGTTTAGACCATACCCCACAGGGAAAGGTTCATGTGAAAGACTTAAAACCCTATCGTGCCCCCGAATAAGGTTGTTTTCGTCGGTATCAGTTAGATAGTTGTAGTATTATCCGCTCGTAGGGTACAGCGGAGAATCATGGATGGAATATCAATTAGCAGAGACAGTGACGTGGTGAGAGGGAAAGGAGTAGTAGCGAGAGGCCAAAGCGACAGAGGAGTTGCGGATAAATTCTTGTTGGGGGAGGGGGAGTTTTGAGAATTTTGGGCCACGGCGGATCGGATGGTGGGTTACCCAAATTGGTATAGTATCAGGTGGAGGGAGGAATTTTTTGTTCTTTTCTTTTCTTGGGCCCCTCTACTTTTCTTGAGCGTTTTAGTGAGTCCGACGGCTAGCCGTGAGGGCATTTTTGGTTTTTGAGGTGTCGAGGTGTTCGAGGTAGTTTTTGGGGTGTCGAGATGTTCGAGGTAGTTTTTGGGGTGTCGAGGTGTTCGAGGTTGAGAGGAGTTCCTATGCCTTCCCCAGTCGCCGATACCTGGACGCAGCTATCGGGATGGGACGAGGCCCCGCCAGATCGACCGCCGACGCGTTCCGCCGCTCCTCCCTGCGCGTTTTGTAGGGCGAAACTAGTGGAGTCGGATAAAGTAACCGCGTTGGCAGCAAGCGACACTCGTCAAGATCTCCTCGGTCCTTTTTAAGTAGGGAGGGAATTGTAACGTGACATTTTTTGTCCGCACTGTGCTGACTCGTCGATGGCGGACCAGTAGTACTATTCTCTAACTTCGTAACGACACTGTCGATATCGTTACGCGTCGATACGCAGGCATAACGATACGATAACGATAAATCGTATTCTGTAACTTTTGTGAAACGACAAATTCGATAGAAGTGTCGATAAAATAACGAATTCTGTCGTTAGACTATCGAGGGGTACAAGACCTCTCGATAAACCATAACGATATCGTAACGAGAGTACCAAAACCATAAGTGAGTACCAAAAATCAGATAATTTTCGCTTGTGACCTCATAACTCAGTTAAGTGCATTTAGATTTCGTTTTCTTTATAGCTAATAATATGGCAGAAGCTTATTTGGCATGGGATTTGCTTATTCTTCAAGAAAGAGCAAGGAGAATTATTAATGGACTGGAAAGAAGATTATTACGAGATGCACAGAATCCTTACGAATTGCCACATGATGTCTTTCTTATGTACTTTAGAATTAATCAAGAACTTGCAATGGATCTCACAAACATATTAAGACCACATTTAGAACATGAACGTATAAATGGTTTGTCCCCAGAAATACAAGTTTTAGTGACAATCAATTTTCTCGCTAATGGTAGTTATCAGACGCCTGTTGGAAATCATTACAACTTTGTTATCAGTCAGCCATCTACAAGTCGTTGCATACGTAAAGTAATATATTTAATAAATATACATTTGTTGCGTCGATGGGTAAAATTCCCAATGACAGCAGAAGAAAGAATAGTTGCACAGAATAAATTTGCACAAGCTCCGCAACCATTTCCTGGTGCAATAGGAGCCATAGATTGTACTCACATAAATATCATTGCACCTCGTGTACATGAAGAAGCATATGTGAATCATCATGGAAATCATTCCTTAAATGTACAAGCGGTAAGTATTATACTTTATAATAATTTTATTTGTTTTACATTTAATATTAATTTTTAAAGTGCTATTATCGAATATGTATATGTATACATACATTTTCATTTACATTATTTTATGTATGTTACAATTGCATAATTTTTTTAAAGATTGTCGATCCGGATTTAAAGATATTAAATATTAATGCACGATATCCTGGAGCTAGAAATGACGCATACATATGGAATGCTTCTCCAATCAAACGTGCTATGGAATACTATTATAATCGTGGTGAAAGAAGGACATACTTAATTGGTAAGAACAAATCACCAATATTAATATCATATATTTATGTAATAATAGATCATACATACATGTACATTTATTTAGATATGCATATATATGTATGTATGTAATTATGAATAGGTGACGCTGGATATCCACTTGAACCTTGGCTTATGACACCATTGCCACATTATCCTGAGTGGAGTCGACAATATCAGTATAACGAAAAGTTGTGTAAAGCACGTAGCGTTGTTGAGAGATTTTTCGGAGTATTTAAAGCAATATGGAGATGTCTGTCATATCAACGTGTACTGATGTATGCACCAGACGTCGTAGGACAAATAATTAACGCATGCGCTGTTTTGCACAACATGCGTCTACATTATAGGTTATTCATGGATATTGAGGAAGAAAATGTAAAGAACCTCCGCAGAAAATGCCCATTTTCGGTACCTCGATTTTTGAAACTTTTATTATGCCAAATAGTTACATATAATGACCCAATAACTCCTGCAAAATTTCAAGATGAGCATACAGCCCGTTCAGGAAATAGAGGGGGTTAAAGTTGACCATATCCAATAATGAAATATATCAATTCAACATTTGAATTCGAACAATAACGTCTAAAGCAAAGTCAACATAAATTACTATTTTAAGATTTTTTGCTGCTG